GTCCATTTTTTCTGTTGAGTATTCCTGAACAGTGTCATTTAAAATAGTTCTGACTAAGTTTCCATATTCAGGATTTAACAACAAGGAATTGTTAAACTTCCAGTACCCATGTCCTCGTTCCTGGCTTAAAGCGTTTGAAAAAGTTAACTTTATTGTTGAGTGGTCACTTTTATAGCCTGGCAAAATATCTGAATCCAAAGTTATATCAAATATATCTTCTGATACAATAAAGAAATCAAGTCTGGCTTGTTGTCTTAGATTGTTTTTCCACCAGGTGTATTTACTACATTTATCATTGAAATTCCTCCAGACATCAATAAGATTATAAGATTCGATAAATTCTAATACAGTATTTCTTGATTTTGGGTTGTTTACATGCATATAATTCTCAAGATCAATTGTAGGATCAATCACCAAATTCCAGTCTCCAACAATTACCATAGAATCATTCTCAAAATTCAGAATATTTTCAAACAGATTAATGTAAAATTGATGGTCATCATTATTAGGACCATAGAGATTAGTCAGTGTCAGTCTTTTATCCTCTACGGTTATATCAGCGATTATATAATTGCCATTTTCATCTATTAAGGTCCTGTGTATTTTGAGATCAATATCGTTGTTAAAAAGAATGGCCACTCCTCTGGAATTAGATTAAAAAGGTGCAATTATGGATTGTAAACCCCATTCATTTCTCATAATATTGCAAGTAGATTCATCAATATGAATGTCTTGTAAACATATAATTGAGTGTAATTATTTCCTATGTATGTTCATTAATTCTTTTCTTTTAGATTTATTAGCAAGTCCTCTACACTTAGCTGAGATAACTTTAATTTTCTTAACATTATCCATTGTAATCAATAGTTTAAGGAGTTCTCAGAAATATCCATATACATACAATCTGTCTAGATATTGTGGCATCTTTGTAAACTGAATGGAGGTAGAAGTGCTCAAAAATGACTGTGACTGTGAGAAAGCATGTAATGCAAACACTAGTATTGTGATATCATGGGAACCATTTTTTCGTGATAAATGAAGAGAATAAATAAAAGGAAACAGAAGGTAACTAAAACAGAACAACGAGCGAACCATGCTTTAAGTATTTAAGTATTTAGTGATGTCATTTGTATCGCCATGGCGTATGCTTAATGTGAGTACAGATATTTTCAAGTAGGTGACATTTGGTGCGTAACTGGGGCTGATTTGTTCAGCTTCCTGTGCTCGGAATATTGGCAGACTAAGTTAGCCGGACTTAGTGTTTATTGTAGTTTAAAGGCCAGACTGTACCCATGTGTACATGGAATGGCTGTTGACAGCCTAAATGATTTAAAAAAAATGTAAGGTTACTATAGAAGTCTACGGGAAAACATCTGGTGTTGTGTAACCTCACTCTCCTACCCAGAGTTCCATGCGGCAAGCCAGCATAGTAATTCTGCCACAGACCAGAAAAATGTGACGATTCATTACATCTTACACTGTCCATTCTATATCATGTACAGATTTCTTAACTCTTTTATTTTTGATGAGTCTACACACCTAATTAAACAACGTTGTTAGAATTTCTTAATTTCACTGAGAAAATAAAAACATGTCACACTATTTCGATTTGCGTAGCGATCCTTTGTTTACATGGGTTGTACGGCACCACGTGCTGTCGTCAAAGCCGACGGGTCGGAAACGATGCAGCCAGTTTGATATCTAAATATGTACTGTCATAAACCTTACTGTCGCAGTTGTGGAAGAACATATAAGTAACAATGTAAAACATTATGAAGAGCGCGCCGAAAAGTTTGCGTAAGGCCAGTCTCTTCTTATTATTATTATTATTATTATGAATATGCGCGTTTGTTACAAACAAGAGAAAAGTCCGGTCACTGCCTGGGGCAGTGATGTTATGCTAAGTCATCGCAGCGCCGGAGTGTGGTGTTCCCTATACAGTCATATTTGCCTTGTTAGAGTTATGTCCCTTACATCATGTTCAAGTAGAACGTTCCTTCATAGAAATAAAGTGTTTTCCCTGTTTGTTACATGTGTATGCTTGTGTATCGTTGAATAACTGAATCTGGCACAACAGCCTGCTAATTATGATAGTTGTGTGTGCTTGTTTATCGTTGAATAACTGAATCTGACACAACAGCCTGCTAATTATGATAGTTGTGTGTGCTTGTTTATCGTTGAATAACTGAATCTGACACAACAGCCTGCTAATTATGATAGTTGTGTGTGCTTGTTTATCGTTGAATAACTGAATCTGACACAACAGCCTGCTAATTATGATAGTTGTGTGTGCTTGTTTATCGTTGAATAACTGAATCTGACACAACAGCTTGCTAATTATGATAGTTGTGTGTGCTTGTGTATCGTTGAATAACTGAATCTGACACAACAGCCTGCTAATTATGATAGTTGTGTGTGCTTGTTTATCGTTGAATAACTGAATCTGACACAACAGCCTGCTAATTATGATAGTTGTGTGTGCTTGTGTATCGTTGAATAACTGAATCTGACACAACAACAGCTTGCTAAATAACTGAATCTGAATCACACAACAGCCTGCTAATTATGATAGTTGTGTGTGCTTGTTTATCGTTGAATAACTGAATCTGACACAACAGCTTGCTAATTATGATAGTTGTGTGTGCTTGTGTATCGTTGAATAACTGAATCTGACACAACAGCCTGCTAATTATGATAGTTGTGTGTGCTTGTTTATCGTTGAATAACTGAATCTGACACAACAGCCTGCTAATTATGATAGTTGTGTGTGCTTGTGTATCGTTGAATAACTGAATCTGACACAACAGCCTGCTAATTATGATAGTTGTGTGTGCTTGTGTATCGTTGAATAACTGAATCTGACACAACAGCTTGCTAATTATGATAGTTGTGTGTGCTTGTTTATCGTTGAATAACTGAATCTGACACAACGGCCTGCTAATTATGATAGTTGTGTGTTCTTGTGTATCGTTGAATAACTGAATCTGACACAACGGCCTGCTAATTATGATAGTTGTGTGTGCTTGTGTATCGTTGAATAACTGAATCTGGCACAACAGCCTGCTAATTATGATCGTTGTGTGTGCTTGTTTATTGTTTTCTAACATTGCATTCAGCATTTTGTTGTTGGAATATTGGCCATTGTACAGACTTTATGGAGCGCAATAGTGCAGTGGTTAAGGTGTCTGCCTATCACGCTGAAGGCCCGGGTTCGATTTCCGGTGGACCAATAAGTCCGACACGGCTGCCTGATGCTGAGTTTGAAAAGCTCGTTGGAAAAGTTAAAGGAACCAACGTAAATATGTCGACTTCTCCCAGCGCAACACCTGGGAATAATAAGGACTGACTGACTGACTGAGTTTGGTTTTACGCCGCTTTTAGCAATATTCCAGCAATATCACGGCGGGGGGACACCAGAAATGGGCTTCACACATTGTACCCATATGGGGATTCGAACCCGGGCCTTCGGCGTAACGAGCCAACGCTTTAACCATTAGGCTACCCCACCGCCCTAATAATAAGGAAGTAACCCGCAGATCAAACTTCGAGACATCCAGAAGTTCGAAACAACGAACAAGTTCCAGACAATGGTGTTTGAGCGTATATATTTTACTTCCACCAGTTGCATCTTTGTCTCAGGAATGGTCGCTGGCTGTTGTAAGGTATTTTCTTTGCATTTTGGCTTCCAAATTATTGCTGATGGAGTGAAATCTTCGCGGAAGTATGGTAACCCAGTTACCCATCACTATTTCTGCCGCTTGGGCTGTTTTGTCGCAGAGGCTCATAGTCAAACCAGTCAAGAATTATGTCAATCATATTTAACATAATGTCCTGATTCATTCTTGTATAGTTGACTAAGATATGTAAGAGAAGATATTAATAATATTCTTCCAGAAATATGATTGACATGAAAATAACATACTCACGACTCAGTTATATTTCATTGATTCAAGTACGGGTGCACACTCCCGGGTGTAAACTTATGAAAGGAGTGAAATGTTAACACCCGCGTTAAAATCAGAAAGAGTCAACCGAATATTATAAGATAAACAACGGAAAAAGAACGGTGACAGGCATGAGTAAAAACTACAGTTAGAATATTGTGGCTATGTAGACATGTTTGCGTTTCCAACACATTAAATTTTCCTTTTCAACTTAGTGAAATATCTCCCCTGCTGGTTGTGTGTAATGTGACGAGTCACACAAACACCTTCACTGACACATTAAGTGCCGCCAAAATGAGTCAGAATATTACATACCGCTCTATGTCATTGCTTATGGTATCCCGATTAGGTACATCGATGCTCATGCTGTTCATCACTTGATTGTCTGGTCTGTTTACTATTTACTGACCGTCAAACATATAGCTTGAATATCGCTGAGTGCAGAGCAATTCTCTGTGGTGAGTGGTGTCCTCGCGGGTATGTTTCCGGGTACACAACTGGCTTGCCATTGAATGAGTTGTGTGTCACACCAGTGGGTCTGGGTGACCTTGACTTTCCTCGACACCTGTGTTTGTTTGTGATTCATTCCTGAACGTTGAAAGCGTGCAGTCTGGCAGATATCTATTATGATTATGGAAAAGTTTGTGTCGCTTTTGTTAACTGCTGAACATAAGAGATATTGTCATGATAATTATAGCCATGTGATAATTATATTGCCTTATTATGTGATACCAATGTAGCGTAAACACTTATTAGACCATTGCCTTAGATATTATGTGTGTGTACGGTCAAAAGCTGTTCCATTAGGACAACCAAGCAATCTTGTTTGAACATAGGATTACACTTCTAACCGATACTTAGATCTTTGACAGACTCATGAATACAAATATTACGCATTTTAGATAACTTAGTCAGTTGCCTGTGCGGTTGTTTCAAACTGTAAAACACGAGTGAAAAGGCGTGAAAGGTACTATATCTCATAAAGTACAAAAGCTTTTCAAATGGTTCATTTACAAGCCTTTAGTCCGTGGTAAGCATTAGGACAGGGCTACCTTTTTCAGAGTCGCCCTAAGGCTTATAATCATATGAAGATATGAAGGTCAGATCAGCATAGTGAAAAGCGAGTTTTTTAATGATAATACTTCCATTCATTTCCATTGAAACGCTAACCATATAAAGGGTCAACAGTGAGTGAGTGAGTGAGTGAGTGAGTGAGTGAGTAAATATTTAACGTCCCATCGGCAATATTTCAGCCACATCGAGCCGTGAACATTTGATGCATTAAAAATGAATGAATTTAGCGCATAGAAACCTGTCGTCAATGGGGTGAGTGAGTGAGTGAGTTAACTTCTGTAGTCACAGCGGCAGTATTTCAGCCATATCGTGACTTATAATAGTTAATAGCACACCTTTTAAAACCCTGTCGACAAAGGACAGTAAAACCAACTAGTATATCACATTATCAAGAAATAAAACTAGCATATATCTCTAAAATATGACAGCTGTCTGTAAATAATCGAATCTGGAGCATACAATCCAGTAAGTAATAGCGTCAACATCAATCTCTACAACTGGGATACGATGACATGTGTCAACTAAGTCAGCGAGCTTGACCACCCGATCCTGTTAGTCGCCTCTTACAACAAGCATTGGTTGCTGAAGATCAATTCTAACCCGGATCTTTACGGGTCACACAGTAAAGACTTTAGTACTTTTGTTACTTTGTGTGTGTTTTTGTTGTTGTTGTTTTCGCTTGTTTGTATATATATTGTATGCCCGCCCGTGTGCGTGTCTGTCTGTCTGTCTGTCTGTCTGTATGTATGTATGTATGTATGTCTGTCTGTCTGTGTGTGTGTGTGTGTGTGCGTGCGTGCGTGCGTGCGTGCGTGCGTGCGTGCGTGTGCGTGTAGCTTGTTTGTATATTTATTGTATGCGCGCGCGCGCGTGTGTGTGTGTCTGTCTGTCTGTTTGGTGGGGTGGGGGTGGTGGAAGTCCATTTGTGTGTTAAAGTAATACTACTGCATTTACCGAAATCGCCACTTCACATTTGAAAGCACTTCCAGTTCAGTTCATAATATGGTGTTGACACATAATGACACAGGATTTAAAAAACCCAACATTTTAAATCCTGATAAGGCATAGATGAGCCTGGATAATACTGTCTTCGTTTTTCTTGCAGTACTCGGTGGAACATTGCCTCCGGTTTTGTTGTTAATACTTACTTGACGTAAAGCCAAAATAATCGACGTCTTAAAGGCCCATATTGAAAATGTCCAAGAGAGTTCTGTTAAAACCTGTTAAACATCTAAACTTTTAACCTGTTAAACATTTAACAAACTTCAAAAACATTCGACAACTTTCTGAAAAAAATATACGCTGACAAACGAACTCCTGAAATGAATAAAACTTTGAGGTTTATCAAGCATTCACTGCATTGTCAATACGACTCTCCTTCTTCTTCTCCTTCTGTGGGAGCTGCCGTCGTCGGAGCTTTGTCACTGGGAAGGAGGTGGGTGAGTGCTGGCGGTGGGTGGATACCTGAAGCCCCTGGAGCAGTGACGAGGGGGTTGTCATCTGTTGGAGACGTTGTAGGAGGGTAAAGCTTTGATGTTTTAGGAGGGTCGGGCTGTGGCAACTTTCGACAACTTTCTGAAAAAAATATACGCTGACAAACGAACTCCTGAAATGAATAAAACTTTGAGGTTTATCAAGCATTCACTGCATTGTCAATACGACTCTCCTTCTTCTTCTCCTTCTGTGGGAGCTGCCGTCGTCGGAGCTTTGTCACTGGGAAGGAGGTGGGTGAGTGCTGGCGGTGGGTGGATACCTGAAGCCCCTGGAGCAGTGACGAGGGGGTTGTCATCTGTTGGAGACGTTGTAGGAGGGTAAAGCTTTGATGTTTTAGGAGGGTCTGGCTGTGGCATCGGTGGGTTGTCACTCTGAGGGGCCCCGGGGGGATGGGGCTTGCCATGCAGGTGCTGGCACGGACGGCGGTGGGTGAATAGTTCCTGGAGGTAGAGTCCGAGTATTTATCTGTCCGCCGTAAGAGTTTTGTCCAGGGGGGTGCACTGGACCTGAGGAACCGTTTGTAAGGTCGTTGGCTTTGATGGATGGGGGCATTGGGTAGTGGGTGATAGGTTTTTTTCCGTAGCCAGGTTCAATGCCTCCTGAAAAAGTGAGTGAGTAAATTAATTTAAATTACCTGGTTTATATTTCATAGCGTGCGTTCGATTATTTTAATATGAGCGACCTGAGACAACTGACCTTAACACATTCTGACAAGCAGAGTCATTCAGGCTCAGCCTGTGTTGACCAGTGACAACTTAGGACAGTACCCGGAATAACAAGGATGCAATTCAACCTTATGTGAAATTATGTATGCCATGAGAAGGAGAACTCAAATAGCCATGTTTTTTCACATACAAGAATGAGAGATTAAAAAGTGTTTTTCTGCTTGACAATTTTTTCTACTACTCTCTACCTAATGCATACAGCGACGAGAAAGTTGAAAATAATGGCCATCACATCAAGCGAGATACAAACATATTGTGCATTAATTCCAAGATGAATATTTTGTTGTTGTTGTAAATTTTACATTTGTATTTCCACTTTGTGTTATACATGTTTTATATATGATATTTTCCATACATTGGTACATTCCATTTCATGTTCAACATCTATACATTGCCCAACATGATATACACATATACACATATATATTAAAACATCTTGTCTATACAATGTTTTCCGTATATTGTCAAAAGCACAAACAACAATTTCCACATCATGTTAAACATGTTATATATTAAATGTTATCTCACATTGTTGAAGGATATGAGCATCAATTTCCACTTCATGTTGTATATACAACATTCTACATGTTGTCGAGAGGATAAATATCAATGAATATTGATACTGGTATGTATGCCGTAAATACAGGTATTATACCTAATTGTATTGATTGTATCAATGACATGATCTAACACATCCTTAACTCAATAAATTCAACAAGTATTACCCAGATTGTATAACTTGTAACAATGAAAGGTAATGTTGACCTAATGAATGAATGAACGAATGAATTGTCTTTATTTCCTCCAATAATGTCGGAGAGTACAATGAATTATGGACATGAATACCAAATACATGATTATGTTCAAATCATATTACAATGGGAAAGAAAGTTAAGCATATGTATATATAACACACTGGTGCGTCACTGAATGAAATGCGAATCATAGGTAGATCCTGCTCTGTAGGTTCCACGAACTAATACTCCTGGCAACAATGTCAATGAACTGGGCCCACATGTGGATGTCCATGTTGTCCACGATAGGGGTGATGCCACCAAGTAGAGTGATAACTTTCATGTCATCAGAGCTACATGATGTACATATTCATTCTCTTGACTTGATAGATTCAGAAAGTATTATACTATTGTATGACATGGAGTACTTAAAAGATGTTTTGGGTGGATCCGAATACAGCAGCTATAAGTATAAGTTATAAAACATTAGGTTCTCTTAATAGATTATGGAATGATGACCATAACGCATAAAACTTGTCATTTGTACATGTTGAAAAGGCACTGTGACTATATTTTGTTGCTTCATAGTATCTGCTTATCTCCCATTGTACGTGCTTGAAATTTGGAATTGCTTCTTTTACCTTTAAAATTACTTTGTGTCCAATCTAAGATCCAATCTTTACAAAGCTTAACTCTGCATTTCCTTTTTGAGCCTATCCAAATCAGTCTTGTCAGCATTAAGTTTCAAACCAGAGAATCTTGCAAAAATGATAGGGTATTCAGCGATGCATATAGAGTACTTTCACTGCCATCTAAAGAAAGGGTGGTATCGTCTGCAAATTGGGCTAAGATGAATTCTATATTTCCTTTTAATACCCTTTATATTTTTATTATTTCTTATAAGTATACCTAGAATTTCAGCACATGAAATAAAAATATATGGTGAAACCGGATCTCCCTGACGACAGGCCCTGCTTATTGGGAAGAATGAACTAGCAAATCCATTTACATGCACACTTGAAGACATATCATTAAAGAAAGTATTTATCCACCTTTGAATATTTGTTCCAAATTTGAATAAATTAAGTACGTCTAATGTAACGTTTCTGTCCACTGAGTCAAATGATTTTTCAAAGTCGATAAGGATTAAGAGACTTGGTATTTGGTAAGATTCAGTATGTTCCATAAGGTCATATATTAATCTAGTGACTTCGCCTATATATCGACCTGGTACAAATCCTTTTTGATCTTCATTAATTGTAAACAGTAATATACTTTTTAATCTATAAGCAATAGCTGTGGATGCTAGTTTATAGGAAGTGTTCAGAGGTGAAATTGGTCTCCAATTTTTCAAATACATTTTGGGTTTATTATCTTTAGGGATACATGTAATCAGTCCCTGTTTCTGTGTCACAAATAAAGTTTCATTATTATAAGCAAAGTTTAGTGAGTTTATCAAGAATCTGCTTTGATCATTCCAAAAGAATTTTAGGAATTCAGATGTAAATCCATCTGGTCCTGGGCTCTTATTGTTTTTCATTTGTTTTAAAGCTCCAAGAATTTCTTCTTAAGTTAGTTCTCCCAATCTAAACTTGAGGCAATATCATCATTTAACTTTGGTATTTCGTATTTTTGAAGCAATGAATTTAGATCTATTAGGGTGCAATTTTCACTTGTATATAGTTTTCTATGAAAAAAATTGAGTTTCCTTCAGTCCATCCTTTCTTTTAATTTCTGATATAGATTTATTTAGAAAGTTTCTAAATTCTACATTTAAAAAATATCTGTTTGGTTTTTCACCTTGTTCAATCCATTTGGCTTTGGATCTAATAAATGCTCTTTCAGGTTTTTTTTCTTCAAAATCATTAAGTTCTCTCTTTATATCATCTATTGCTTTGAGAATTTCTCGTTTATCTTGCAAATTATCTTATGTATCTAGTTTTACTTCCATTTCATACAATATATTCTCTAAGTTATTTATAGTATTAATGTCTTTTTTCTTTTTAGTGGAGGTATAATAAATTGTTAATCCTCTTATTTTCAGAAGAATCATTTCCCACAAGAGTTCATCGTTGATAGTATATTTTGAACTTTGTTCCTGTTGATCTTCTTTATCTGTTTCATAACTTTTTGAGGTACTTATTATTTTTTAACTTGTTGTACATATTCTGCATCATGTAACAAAGAATTATTGAACTTCCAAAATCCTTTACCTCTTTTAACCTCAGATAGAGATATTGAGATTGATATAACTCAGTGGTCTGAGTCAATACTTGGGCTTATGTCTGTTTGTATAACTTGTTGAAGTAAATTATGAGAGATCAAGAAATAGTCCAACCGCGCTTGTTTTAGGGGTGTAGGTTGTCGCCAGGTAAATCCTTTTTCAAAGGGTAAGTTTCTCTCCAAGGGTCTTTCAGATCAAGATAGTTCATCATGTCTAATTCTGTTTCTCTTGAGTTCCGGTTGTTTATGTGCTGATAATTAAAGGTATCTTTCAGCTGGTCTAATACTAGGTTCCAGTCTCCACATATTATAATTCTTTCTCCTAGTAACTGTTGAATATGTTCTTTAATTGTATTTAAAACAGTAATTGAATCTTGATTAGGACCATACATGTTTACAATAGTATATATTTTACCTGCCATTTTAACGTTTATTGTAACATAATATCTGAGCTTTTTTCTTGCGTAAAAATTGAAATACTTTTTCCTCTTGAAGGCATTATTTAGGCCCCTACAATTCAGTAAGATAATTTGTACTTTTCCCCTTTCAGCCATTTTCTATCATGTTACTGGCATAATTCATTTTATGGAAGTAAGGCAAATTGACAGTGGGAACTATTATGAAAGAACATCAACAAAACATTGAAATAAAATTTGAAGTAAAACAGAATTAAAAAACTTAAAATGACCTCCATGATACAATGGTTTTTGTTACCTCCTCTTGTGATATAAAGCAAGATAAATCAAAACAAACCTCATTGTTCTAGTACAGTAGAGTTTGGGACTGTTATTTAGACAACAGTTCAGCATTTTACCGTACTAGGCTAAGGCTAGAAGAGATAATTAACACCCAGTCCTAGCCCGCATCTTTTGATTAAAACTCCTTATATTATTTAAATTTATAAATAGAAATGCACATTGTTGTTAGCAACAAACATTCTGGGAAGAAGAAGGATAAGTTTTTAAAAGTATATATACACTGATCTATGTCACGTAATGTAACTAGGTGATTTTACTAAGGTCTTAAGACAGCGCGAGAATTTCTTTTTACATCATAATTTACAGTTCACTAACTAGATCTACTTGTTAAGGCTTCAAAGTTTTGAGGTTTTCCAATATACTGTTATGAAGTCCGCAAGTTCACATACAGTACAAATAAAAATAGTATCTTCCCATACAGTTTAATGGTGACACATACAGTGCTGATACAAAACGCCCGTCGTATGTAATATGGTAGTGACATCTACAGTGCAGATGTACGCAATACATGTCATACAGTATAGTAGTGACATCTACAGTGCAGATACAAGCAATATTTGACATACAGTCTAGCACGTAGTGGCATCTACTTTGCAGATATGAGCAATATATCACATACAGTATAGTAGTGACATCTACAGTGCAGATATAAGTAGTGTATGACCTATAGTATAGTGGTGACTTTTATAGTGCAGATATAAGTAGTGTATGACCTATAGTATAGTAGTGATATCTGTAGTACAGATATAAGTAGTGTATGACCTTTAGTGTAGTGGTGACATCTATAGTGCAGATATAAGTAGTGTATGACCTATAGTATAATAGTGACATCTATAGTACAGATATAAGAAGTGTATGACCTATAGAATAGTAGTGACATCTATAGTACAGATATAAGTAGTGTATGACCTATAGTGTAGTGGTGCCATCTATAGTGCAGATATAAGCAGTGTTGACCTACAGTATAATAGTGACATCTATAGTACTGATATGAGCAATATATCACATACAGTATAGTAGTGACATCTATAGTACAGATATAAGTAGTGTATGACCTATAGTGTAGTGTGACATCTACAGTGCAGATATAAGTAGTGTATGACCTACAGTATAGTAGTGACATCCATTGTGCAGATTTGAGTAGTGTATGACCTATAGT